GCGGGCTACCCCCTTCCGTCGAGCAGTGACTTTCTGCAGGTGGTACACAAGCCAAATGCCCTCGCGCTCCTGCAGCTCTACGTCGCGCAAGGCGTCGCGCTGCCATCCTCATGGGCAAAGGATTTCCGCTACGGCAAGAAGGACCTCGCTGAGTTCTACTTCCAACACGCGCCAGAGACAAACAACGTTGTGGCCCCAAGTTTCCCGTTCCAGTACTATGGCCTGGATGAAATCCAGAGAGCGCTATGGGACGAAGACTTGGACTTGGTCTCGCAGCTCTGGACGCGTCAGCCAGAGCTGCGCCACGACTACTTGCTCGAGGTTGTCGTATGCAACAACCAGTCGCCCAAAGCCCTTACGCTCCTCCTCGAAGCTGGCGTCGGGCAACCTCGGACTGTCGCTGTCGAGAACATCCACCGTCGCAGCTTTGAGATGATGAAGATTCTTCTGCCGTTGTGTCTGCCCCCGAACGACCCGATGGACAACCTCATCTTCCTCGTCGAGTGGGTGCATAAGCGGTCCAGCTCCTATACCAAGTCGCCGCTGCTGCTACTGAAGGCTGAGATGATGGCTCAAGCGACGGCGGCCAACTGCCGCTACATTCACGCCGGCACCGAGATCGAGGCGCTCACAGAAGCGCTTCTGGAGCGCGGCGCGACCACGTCGTACCTTCAACCAGACTGTAGAGGCATGCAGCAACGGGCGCTCTTCAAGTCGGGCATTGCGGACTGGGGCCTCGCGACGCTCTTGGTGCATTTTCTCTCGGTCGACGCAACCAAGTACGTGGAGAAGCTGCTTGCATGGCTCAAGAGGGTGACCGATGGGACCCTCAAAGCGTATCTGCAGCACGTGCTTGAGGAGGCCGTGACGCCTGACGCCGTCGCTGCCGTCGAGGAGGCCCATCAAGCCGCTCTGCGCGCCAAGTGGGCGATGGCTTCCGACTACTAATGCGAGGTTAATATGCCAACTGTCTTTTCTAGCGCTAGTCGAGCGATCTTCAATTGCGTTGCATCGTGGAGGATTCTAGTCGTAATGTGACCAAGTCGGTCATTCGACTGCACTTTGCGATGTAGGAAGTCGGTGTTGGAGATGTTTGTAGCCGAATGCAACTATGAAAGTGATTCTAGTATCGTTTGTTATGTAGTTAACTACGCTTCCTACAGTTTGAACCACTCAGCCGACTCGCATCTCGTGTGTCTT